AAACAAAAGCAAAGCAAGGGAAAGGCAAAGCAAAAGCAAAAGCAAAAGCAAAAGCACAGCAAAGGAAAGGCAAGCATTTTTTGTTCCCTAACTAGGCTCTGCCTGGAAGGATTCTTACTCTGTTGGCTTACAGGGGTCGGGCAGTGGAAATCGCCCCGGGCGGTCCCCCCGGCCCCCTGGGAGCCGAGCAAAAGCAACAGCAAAGGTAAAAGCAAACGCGCGGTTCCCCCAGTTGCGCTCCCTGGGTGCCAAGCAAAAGCAAAACCAATGCAAAAGTGAAGGCAAGCGCGAAGGCAACGCAAGAGCATAGCAGAGCAGAGCAGAGCATAGCATCGCATAGCGCAGCATAGCATAGCGCTGCGTCGCATAGCATCGCAAATCATATCCTAGCCTAGCCTAGTCTAGCCCAGCATAGCATTGCGCTGCATAGCATAGCATAGCGCAGCGTAGCGTAGCATCGCATCGCATATCATAGCATAGCATCGCATAGCATAGCATAGCATAGCGCAGCACGGCATCCACTATTGCTGCTGCTATATTCTAAGCAACTTCGTAAGTGCTTCGCTGCAGTCGCTACTAATGTTGCTTTCCTAGAGGCTCCAACTCCTATGTAGGGTCGAACTGGGATAATTGTTGTCGCCCTGGGCCCACCCCCCGGGGGGGGGTCGCATCTGGTCCAGGGCCCCCACGGGGCCCCTCTCGGCCCCGCATCCGGGGCCCCGCCCGGGGCCTCCCCCGAGACCCCTCCCCCCTCCCAGCGGGGGAGGGATCAAAGGGAAGGGGCCTTCCTTCGAATCGATTGCAACGCTGCTCAATTTCGTTTGAGCTGGCGTGCCTGGGGAGGAGAGCTTAGGGAAAAGGGGGGGGGGCCGACGGCGACGGCCCTGGCGCGCGAGGGGGAGGGCCCAGGGAAGGGGGGGGGGGGGCGACGGGACCAGGGAAGGGGGGGGGGCGCAGGGAAAGGGGGCCATGAATGACGAAGAAGACTCTGAATGACGGAGACGACGACTCGACCGGACAAGCCCCTCACGCACGCCGACAGGGTCGGCGGATTCATAGCCCATAGGCGCCGAGGCTGTGGCGCCTAGAGTCCATCGGGAGAGCGAAGGCGGCAAGGGCTGGGCAAGTACCTTGGCGACCATGTCTACCCTTCCCCCATTGCGATTGCACGCTGCGTGGTCTGCTGCGCGCGCGTGGGCGATACTTCTATGAGTGGAAACGTGCACTAGTTCAACATGTTAAAGACGAAGCTCATCAAGTCCCCGAGCCTGCGGCGCGCGCCGACGATTTCGCGTTCTTCACGCGCCGCTTCGCGCGGCAACCCAACGGCGAGATGCGCGGGGAGGCGGGCGAGGCAGCGCAGAAGGTCCATATTATTTGCAGTTCGAAGGTTCGACGCCAGAGAAGAAACGCGATTGACGCCAGAGAAGCACTCATCTTCATGAACGGTCATTTGAGATTTGTCGTGGCCAACGCGACAGGCCCTTCCCGAGTGTTCCGCGACGTTGCGGACTTCCAGCAGCGGGTTCCCGAGGCTGCGGCAGGCGCGCTCGACGGGGCGAACGCAGTGCTGCGCGACCACTGAGAGCGATCCAAGAAGCTGGCGATGAAGTTCGCCCGCAGAGTTGGCGTTGTCAGGGTGGCGACTGGACTCTGCGCCGACTCGAGTTTCGATCGTCAGCCCCGTGGCGGAAGTCAGTGAGGATCTGGTTCTACATGGAGAACGAAGGCACGTCTTCGGCGATGTGTTTCCATTCTCTTCGGTGGCATGGGGGCCAACTGAGATCCACGGCGCGGTGCGATCCACCCTAGATTCGAGCCGCCGAAGTTGCAGCGCTGGCAACGGGCTACGACGTCTGCGTCTACGCGCGCGCGATCTTGCTATACTTGCCGGGCGACTGCGCTGGAGATTGGATGGCTGGTAGCACAGATCCCACAGGCGTCGCTGTTCGACTGCAAGAGCTTGCGCGACGGCGTGCCCGAGGAAGGCGGCGCGCCGACCGAGCGACGAATCGCGTTCGACTTCTACGACGCGCCAGCGCCTGGAGGACGACGACCTGCCGTTGGCCAGCGCCAGCATGATGCTCGTGAACCCCTTTCGCCGAAACACTTCGGCAAGCTGGAGGCCACCCAACTAGGTGATTTCCTAGTGGCGGGCTTTGCCAGCCCGACGCTGCTGGCGGAGCAAGAGACAGAAGCGAGCCGAAGAGGCCCCGCGAAGGCCCGGTGCGCTTCTCTTGGGCCGGAGGGGTTCAGCCCTTTGGAGTTTCTACGCGTGGGCAGCTGCTGCTTGCACGCATGCGTATCTTTTGTCCTGGGCATTCCTGTCGGCTCCGCGTCGGGCCCTTGGCGTTGATGTGCCCCTCGGGACCTGGGGCCTTTGAGGGCCCCCGACCTACGCCTATTCTTTCCTCTGCACCCGCTCCGTTCCCTCCGCGCCCGGTGCTCGCCGCCCGCGGCCGTTGCGGTTCGAGCTCGCGCCTCGAACCGAGTCGGCGACCGAGAGTGCCAGTCCCGACGCGCGCGCGCCCCCGCGCGGCCGCAGCCGCCCCAGCGATGAGTCTCCACGGTCTTGCAGGCCGCGTGCATTCAGAGAAGGGCTTCGCGAAACCCGAGACGCCTGAGAGCCCAACAGTGCTAGCGCGTCCTTCGCAGTAGGGCGACGGGGAGGGGGTAGCGGAAGAGGATGGAGTGAGGCAAGGGGGAATGAGGAGGAGCAGGGGGAGGAGGAGAAGGAGGAGTAGAACCAGTCCAATTGACCTAAAGACTCCCCGACGATGTTGCAATCATCCCTCTGTCCAAGTTCCCTCTTCATAAGCCCCTACAAGGATTCATTATCGTTGATAGAAGTGCCCCGCGCTGTTGTAAATCCTGAGATGTCCCTGAATATCATTTCTGGGATTTCGATGCCGCGAGTCAGTCTTGACGATCCTGAAGCGCGCCGGAACACCATTCCTATGATTCTAACAAGACACATCAACGTAACTGTCGCGCCTTGACTGTCCGACATCGTGCCAACCCTCCACCCGTTGGGCGGTGCAATTGGAAATCATGGAGCTTTTTTTATAAACACTTGAAACACATGTGCGCGTCGCTCAGGCGAGTGCCACATTTTGGAATGGAGCCAGCTTCCAGCCGTGAAAACCATGCATTTTGTAACACGAGTGCGCGCGGCGTCATCTAGGAACCGCCATCTATCCATGAAGTTTTTTTTTTGTTTGACAGCTCTTAAACGGCTGCGCGCGTAAATAAGGACAGAGCCACCCTGTGAAAGCGGACCGTACTCTATCCGTCAAACGTTGGCAGACTTTTAAGACGGATGCGCGCGGCGCTAGGGAACAACATTTTGAAGGCGACCCGCCCTCAATCCGTGAAGGTGCTGCAAATTTTGGGCGTCAGGATCATCAGTGTAGAAGACGTACCAGGCGAAGCGCACGGCCCGCCGTTCCGACCAGCCTCGGGGTGCGATAGGGAGGAATTGTTTTCAAGGAGAAGGAATGGAGGAGGGGGAGGAGGAAGAGGAGGAGGAGGAGGAGGAGGAGGAGGAGGAGGGCGAGGAGGAGGAGGGCGAGGGAGGAGGAGGAGGAGGGAGAAGGAGGAGGAGGAGGAGGAGGAGGAGGAGGAGGAGGAGACGGGTGGAATTAGTTAGTAGGAGAACGACAGGAGGAGGAGCGGGAAAAGCGGGCGAGGAGGAGGTCTGGAAGCGAGGCTTTGGCGCGACGGTGCACGCAAGACTGCGCCATCAGGCCGTAGGGAGGGTCCCACAGATCCCCCGCGGCGGAACTCGAGGCTGCGCCCTGGGTGCACTCGGTCGGAGGCCTCGGTGGGTGGCAGCTGGGAGGGGAGGCGAACGCCAGCGCGGAAAGCCAGTCAGCGCGTTGTTTCTTCATGGCTGTCCGAATGCTCAGTGGTTCTCCAGCAGTGGCACGCTGGTGGCCTCCTCACGGTGGCGTGCTTGGCATCGCTCGGACGTGTGCATGTTTTCTCGGCGGGGACCATCGGGGACCATCCTGGACCAGCGGGCAAACGAAAACACGCACGAAACCGAAGCACGCAGGGGAAATAGACGTCCGAGCGACGGCAAGCGTGTCCGTGGTGCTGTTTCTGCCCACCTCTACCCCAGAAAGCGACGAACATGTCGTGTCGTGTACATTCGGTCGGAGCTTCGGGGAATGACAGCGAGGTGAACTTGGCCAGGAATTCGCGTTTGCTTTCAGCTCGTGTCGTGCGTTCGGGCGTGGCGACGCTGAGTGAGGGCGACGATGTGCCGGCGCAGCTAAAACCAAGCTGTGGAAACAAGGTCTCCGTGTGTCTCGCGGTGTCTCGCCGTTGCTGTCTCGTGGACGTCCCGTGGTTGTCCCGCAGGCACTGCAAATCGGAACGCACACCACATGGCAATCGACAATTTGCACATCGAGATGAACATCGAAATGCAGGCCCGATTGCCATCGAACTTCCAAGTGAAATGCCCATCGAAATGATCGTCACCAGACAAATCGACATGGGGATCGACATGCACGTCGAACTGCACACCTATATGCAAGGTACTCACCAGTTGCATTGTCCGTATCATCTAAAGGGTGGTATATGCTCTATAGTCGCGCGTGGGTGACCAGTCGTGGCGAGCTGACGCGCCGCCTGTCCACGCACGCGAAACAGAAAGTGTATGTTTCCCCGGTCTTCGAAACACCAGATGTACGTGTGTTGAGGTCTGCCTTGTGACGCATTCAATGTGGGTGAAGCTTAGGCATGCTTGTTGAGCTGACTGCGCGTCTGCAGCTGCAGAGCCACGTGCGCTGTACATGCATCACGGATCGAGCTGCTGAGGACCGCCCTGGAGCATTCATATCTGCTGGGGCCACGGTCCTCCACCTCCTCCGCCTCCTCCTCCTCCTCCTCCCCCTCTTCCCTCCTCCTCCTCCTCCTCCTCCTCCTCCTCCTCCTCCTCCTCCTCCTCCTCCTCCTCCCCCTCCCCCCTCCCCCTTCTCGCAGCCTGGGAGGAGCGCGCCTGTGTCCTGCAGCAGATCCAGGCGCTGAAGGAGGAGGAGGCCGAGCACTACCGGCAGAAGCAGGAGGCGGCGAAGCGCCTCGTGGCCGAGGCGCCCCGGGTCGGGAAGCGAGGCCCACCCCCGCCCCAGGCCGCCCGCGGCGCGTCGCGGGGGGGCGGGGGCGGGGGCGGAGGAGGAGGAGGAGGAG